TAATGTGAGCACGTTAAGAATTGAGAATTAATTCATATCGACACATTTTTAATGTATATGAGAAAAAATAATATCTTAACTGTAGAAAAATTTTCATTTGATTTTTTTTTTTTTGGTAAATACAATGTCAAGATTAACATAAGTTAAGTGTTCTTTTTGTAAGATTTCATCACTATATACTCTTATCATCTTTTGAACAGTCACGAAAGTGTTTTTATGTCGGTTCAAATCGTTTTACTCTCTTGAGTTTCCATGAGAGAGCACGAAACCTTAAATAGACACATCAAGATTATAATTGATAGGTTTCTACTAGGAAAAAAATGTTCTGATTTTTATCGATTTTTTTTTTCTTTTCAATTTCAATTTTCTTTCTTTTGACATTAGTTTAACGTTTATTGTTATATTTACTCCTCCCATCTTAGATCGCTTTTCACTAATTATAACCTTGAGGTTCATGTCATGACGATGCTGATGCCAAGATGGCAATCATGATAAAATGAACAGACATTTATTGTTTTCTTTCCTATGCTCATTGACCGGATGTCCTTGAGAATAATTTCCTCCGGTCATTAGCCTTGATAGTCTTTCTTTGTCTTTATGAAAGATGATAAGTTTTTGAATGAGGGTCCGACTGTAGAGCGAGAAGATGAGGTGTAAATATTGTTTTAACACAGAACAGACGCATTCAATGTACATCTTAATCAGAGAAAAGAAAAGGGTAAATGCACCATCAAATTGTATATGTATGTGTCTTTGTACGATAAGCGAAAGAAACAAATAGGAGCGGCCAATTTCGTTTTTTTTTGCTCGAAAGAGAGAAACAAAAAAGAAAGAATCTGACCACATCTTGTTTTTGTTATGAATTGAACACACGCGCGGAAATCAACAGGCCTCAAGCTATCTTTTTATATATGCATATAGAGAATGACCCATGGATCGAAAAGTCAGTTCATTTCGAATATAAAGGTGTTGTTATTATTAGAAAGCGGGAGAGACTAAGTAGATGATTGATCAAGACATTAAAAAAAAGTAACCGAGAAATAATGGTCGATAAAAATGCTTCTATCTGATCCATCTGTAACTTGAAATGTTCATTTCAATATATTGACACAAATGTATATCTTCATTTATTTCTTTCTCTTTTTTTTTTTCAGATGTTTATATTACTTATTTTACTCCCATTTGTTGCTACTTTTGATTATTCAATAAAAATTGAAGAAAAATCTTCAATTAATAAAACAATTTATCAATTTTCACGTTCATATGAATTATTAAATAATTTTCAATCAAATTTTAATTTAACAAATAATAATAAAAATTTAATTTTAACAAAAATAATTGATCGTGATTATTGGTGTTCACAAAATATTTGTTCATGTGATTATTGTTCATTTATTCTTGAATTATTTTCTAATGATGATAAAATTTCACCAATATTTTCAACTATTAATATTACAATAACTGATAGAAATGATCATGCTTGTCAATTTTTGGATATTCAAAAAAATATTTTCTTATCTGAATCTATTCAAATTGGTCATCGATTTCCAATAGCACGTGCAATTGATTATGATTCAGGTATTAATAGTCAATTATCATTTAAACTTCTTAATAATAATGATTATTTTGAATTAAATATAATTAAATTAACAACAAATGAATATGCTATATATGGTATTGTTAAACGTTCATTTGATAGAGAATTAAATGAAAAATATGATTTAATTATTGAAGCACATGATCATGGAATATCAGAAGTTAAATTTAATCGTACAAAAATAACACTTTGGATTTTAGATGAAAATGATAATGCACCAAAATTTAATCAAACTGAATATTCAATTCAAGTAAGTATCAATCATTAACTATCATTGTTACATTTAAATATATTTTGAAATATTTAGTCTCTTCCAGAAGATACTCCAATTGGTACTAAACTATTAACAATATCAGCTACTGATGCTGATAAAAGTGTAAATAGTCTTATACATTATTCAATTATAATTTCATCAGATATAACATCATTTCCATTTGTAATAAATTCAACAACTGGAATTATTAGTCTTCGTTCATCATTAGATTATGAAACAGTTCGTACATATCGTTTTTTAATACGTGCATCAGATTCTGGTTTACCACAATCTTTATATACTGATACTTGGCTTTCAATTTCAATTAAAGATATAAATGATTGTCCTGTTGAAATATTCTTTCTATCAAATCGACAATTTCAATATGATAATCATGCATTATTTATCTATGAAAATACAGAAATAAATAATTTAACATTAGGTTATATTCGTTTATATGATCGTGATTCAGAACAAACAAAACTTTCTGTATCATTAATGATGTTAGAAAAAAATTCTAAACAAGATTAT